AGCCACTGAACTTGCACTAGGAGACATAGTTATCCTCCTATGTAGACCCAATGACAGCATGATGACTTACCATGCAATTTTTAAAAAATAAGCTGTGGGGTGTCGGGGGAAGGATTGGCATGAACTTGTTCTTCAGTGACTCATAACCTTTATAACAACATCACAGACCAATGTGGAACCAACAGAGCTCAAAGACTATGATACCTTTATTTCCCATCTTTTTGTGAAAAAGAGATAGGAGTATGTAGATCATTGCTGAAAGCAATTAGTTACCAGAGTCAGTTGCAGCAGAGGAAAGGATACAGAATGAAACTTTCTGAAGCCATTAAGAAAGACATTGCTTGTAAACTAAACATAATTAGGTACCCTGGCTCATGCTGATTGCTCACATCAGTAGGCATTTAGCACAGAGGAGGAAGGGGGAAATAAGTCACTCTGAGCTAAGGGATAGAAGGTTAGATTATAGGAGAGCAGGGTGTAGGATTTTAAACTCGAGTCAAAGGCATAATCTTTCTCATCTTCTGTCCAATGGAATTGGTCATGCCTGGCCCCCTAATTGGAATGCTGAATGCAAAAATGGCTCTAAAGTACTGAGAGCTCCATGGAAGTGTTATGCAATTTGAACTACAAAGGCACATTAACCATGGTCTGTTTAGAGCCTGAAGAGAGTAAGGCAAGGATGGTGCTGCACACCGCCATTGCACTGAACTTTCCAAGGATCCAGCACGTGTCATGTCACTCCTTAGTCTAGAAATGCCAGTGTCTTCCACCTCACAAGTAAAGTCAAAGATCTTTTCTTGATATCAATTGCTGTTATGTTATTAACCGTAAAACTCTAAAGGCACAAAGAAAAAACAGCACCAAATCTCAGCACACAGATGACCACTGTTCCACATTACATCTTAACATGTTTTCTAGTCCTTTTGTAATGCAGACATGTGTAAACTTTAAAGCAACAAACAAATTAAACTTTTGGGTTCACTTGACATTAATTTATTCTTTCCACAATATTTAATGAGCACTTCCTATATGCTAGGCACCATGAAAGACACTAAAGTGACAAAGATGCATAAGGTTGTCATTTCCTTGACATGTTCTCCAGTTTAACAAGAGAGATGAACATAGGAACAGAGGGTGATAATTTGTTCCTGTGTGTGTCTCAGGAATGAGGTGCTAAAACTAAAATTCTTATAACCCTCCTCTTGGGACCACTCTTCCCTTGTTCACCCATCCCTCCTGTTTTCTGTTATGGCAGGTGCAAGCAAAAGCCTTGGGGCAATGGATTTAGGAGAAAGGAAGAGAAACATAACTGTCCTCAAATATTTTTCAATGTCTCTTTGTTCATTACAGAAAATTATGCCCCTTTTATAGATTAGTACCATTATTTTCTGCTGTTTAATATTATATAAGGTCATAAATATGATCCTGAGTATAAGAACAATTCTCCATGTTTGTTCCTGTAGACCCCTTGTGTGAACAGCAAAATTATGACAAGTGCCACCTTAGGTCAGAGGAAAAACTCTGCCTATGGGGCAACACCGGCCAGAGTAGGAAGCATATTTTTATTTTAGGTGACAGCAAACAGCCTCAGAGAGTTTCCTCGGTGTAAGAACCATAGTGAAGAAAATACATTAACTGAGCACTTATGTGCTGGGCTTTACATGCACAATCTCATTTAAGTTACACAGCATACTTATGAAGTTGGTATTACAGTTCTTGTTTTACAGATGAAATTGAGGCTAGAGAAGTTAATAATTTTTCTGAGATTACCCAGCGAACATGTGACAAACTAACTTGAGCCCCCAAGTCAGTGCTCTTAACCTTAGGAAACACGAATCAAGATGGCACCAGGCAAGAGAAGCTGCACAGTGTTAAGGCATAGTATGGGCTGCAGAATCACAAACAGCTTCACACTCTGGTTCTGTTCTTCCTCGGTCAATTCCCATAACTTTTTGCTGGTCAATGTTCTCGTTTCTATGTAGAGGGACGTATCTTGTTTATCACTGGTCCCTCAACATCGGTAACTGTGTCGGCCGGCCTATAGCATCAGCCCTCCAATAATGTGTTGAATGAATGCCAAGTTAAAACATGACTTCAGGCAGGCTAAGAATACTTATATTTACAGGCCTTCGGTGAGGGTGGGCGGTGATACAAGTGAAGTGACTCACTTCGTGCCTGCACACAGACACCCCATAAGCGGCTGCCTCATTATGCCATAATGAAGGCACAGAAGGGGAAAGTGAATGAACTGAACCATGGACTTCTTCCCTTAGTCTGAACGCTTCGTGAATTCCTCCCCTACAGACATATTTCAGAAAGTGTGAGGCCACTCTGGGAAATAGGGAGAACTAGATAGGAACAAACCCAGCTTGGGAGCCTCGCACAGATTGTCATACTGTGATAGATTTCCTAGAATGTAAAGACCCTTGCCTTGGTGCATGTGCAGGGCGCCACCAGTTCCCAAAAGCATTTTCAGAGCTTCATGCGATGCCAGGCTCAGTGTTTGCACACCCGTATCATTCTCCTGAGGCAAAGCAAAAAGTCCTTTTGATTCCTGTTTCATCCATAGAAAAAAAATAAAAACAAAAAACATACTAGAGAAGTCCTCAGTGGAAATAGCATTGTCACCAAGCATAATAGAAACATTTTAAAGATAAATTTCTTCCAATTGCTGTGGCCTTTTATCTGGCAACTCAGAAGAAGGGTGTTAAGACTGATAAGTAGATTTTCTTCACAGTAAAGTAACATATTGGAGACTGTATAGAAAGGAGCACATTTATGTTGTCTATAATAAGATCTGGCTTTTGTAAAGTGTGAGTCTACTCAAGATATCACTGTTTATCTCCTACAAAGCTGATTTAGCTGTCTTCTTACCTTTTCACAATAATCTCATTTAAAAAACCCTCATTTTTCATTCGTATTTGACACAATCTCCTGGCAGCAGCTCAAACTGACCTTCAGGGAGGAGGGCCACTGCAGCTGATGTGCCCCTTCCAAATATCCGATTGTCAGCTGCTTTACTTTAAAGCAAGAAGGTCTTTGGTAAAAACAAGTATTTTGGCCAATCTATATTGGCCAATCAAGCCCTACTCTATATAGCGATTTCCAAATAAACTGTTGTAACTTGCTTTCAAGGGATGTGGATTTCTTTTTTTAAAATTATTTTTTTTTACTTTTAAATCTTTTTTTTAAATTATACTTTAAGCTCTAGGGTACATGTGCACAATGTGCAGGTTTGTTACATATGTATACATGTGCCATGTTGGTGTGCTGCACCCATTAACTCGTCATTTACATTAGGTATATCTCCTAATGCTATCCCTCTCCCCTCCCCACTCCCCACAATAGGACCCAGGGTGTGATGCTCCCCTTCCTGTCTCCACGTGATCTCATTGTTCAATTCCCACCTATGAGTGAGAACATGCAGTATTTTGTTTTCTGTTCTTGTGATAGTTTGCTGAGAATGATGGTTTCCAGCTGCATCCATGTCCCTACAAATGACATGAACTCATCCTTTTTTATGGCTGTATAGTATTCCATGGTGTATATGTGCCACATTTTCTTAATCCAGTCTGTCACTGATGGACACTTGGGTTGATTCCAAGTCTTTGCTATTGTGAATAGTGCCGCAATAAACATACGTGTGCATGTGTCTTTATAGCAGCATGCCTTATAATCCTTTGGGTATATCCCCAGTAATGGGATGGCTGGGTCAAATGGTATTTCTAGTTCTAGCTCCTTGAGGAATCACCACACTGTTTTCCACAATGGTTGAACTAGTTTACAGTCCCACCAACAGTGTAAAAGTGTTCCTATTTCTCCATATCCTCTCCAGCACCTGTTGTTTCCTGATTTTGTAATGATTGCCATTCTAACTGGTGTGAGATGGTATCTCATTGTGGTTTTGATTTGCATTTCTCTGATGGCCAGTGATGATGAGCATTTTTTCATGTGTCTGTTGGCTGTATGAATGTCTTCTTTTGAGAAGTGGATGTGGATTTCTTCTAAGCCGAGAAGAGTATGTTCTTTTCCCTTTCTTTCCTCTTTCCTTGTCCTTCCTCTGATGACGGAGGGGAAAGGAATGGTTCTCCTCTGCTCCTGACTTAGATCTCATCAGCCAAAGTCAGACAAGTCTTCCTCCAGGAAGGGCTCTTCCCAACTCTGCTGAAAGCCGCCTCCTGTGGCAATGTCTTGGGCACCTCCACACACCACTTCTCAGGACAGACACCACCTGGAGGAGCTAAGGGCCAGGAAAAGGTCATTTCCCTTAAAGAACCAACACAATTCTTCTGATTAGTTAAGGAGGGTTCTGTAATCCACAGGGTTTCTCTCTGCCCAGCTGTTGGAAACCTCGGAGCTAGAAATTGCACTCTTTTTGCCAGGATTTCTTGATATGAATTTTTCTTCAATTACCACTTCATGTTTTTTTCTTAGCTTCTGTTAATGAATCTGTTTTATTAGAACTTTCTAACTTGTCTCAAATTCTTTTTGAGAAGTAGGTGAATTGTGAATAAACATTTTTTAAGTGGCTGCCATCACTCTAACCATGCTTTTCCTTTCACCTGAACAAAAGGAAAAGTAACCCAGGAAAGACAATTTAAAAGCATCTTTCTAATGAAGAATTCCTAGCTAGAAGCGTTTGGTTTCACACCAAGATCAAAATAACATCATTCATTCATTCATATAGAATACTTTTCATCAAGAAACATTTACTTATAGGATCAAACTGCCTTCTTTTTTTCCCTTTCCCACCCCCACTTTTTAACAATAACGTAGTCAAAAAGTCCGTTTTATAGATAGGTAAACTGAGTCACAGAATGTCAAAATAACTAGACTAAGAAATTATACTAAGTGATAGAACAGATAACAACTGGAGATGCTATAGTCTGTGGGCTCTGAAGGGACAGCACTAGCTCAAAGTCTCGACTAGACTTATAACCCCATCCCAACATGAATAATTTTGCCGGGCAACTTAAAAGGTTAGGTCTCATTTCTCTCACCTCCGATTTCTCCATGAGAATGATGGTATTTCATGCCTTTTACTTTCTTTGAGGAGAGGTGATCCATTCCTGTTTGATTTAATAAAATAATCCTAATTCAAATATTTCTGTTTAGGGGAGGGAAAGAAAAATTTGCCTTTGAAAAGCCTACTCATTAAAACCACATAATGTGATTCACTAAAAATATCCACTAAATTACGTAAACACAATACACACTTACAAAAGTGGTGAGAAAAATTTAATCAGAGCAATTGAGGCAAGGGTCCATGTCTATACAGGCTGTTTACAATCCAACCTATTCCTGTAATCAAGAAGGAATGGCAATAGAAACGCCATTTTAAAGAGATACATACATCTGTTATACTAAACTCCTGAGGAATTGGGAGAAAATTTTGAAGGAAGTAAATGGAGGCAGTTGTGGAGGCAGATGAGTAGGAGACACAGCTATACTCCTGTTCTCATGTTATTTGACCCACAGAACTATCATGATGGGCTCAACTTCCTTCAGACATTGGAATTGACATGGCCTTACATCATGATGCTTGATTTTGTCTATAGGAATCAATCTACCCCCAGAAACATGTTAACAGAAGAGAATCATGTATGTTCCTGACATGAAGCTAGATTTCAGACAGTGTCAGCCACTAACCCAGCTGCATTCTCCCTTTATTTGTGCCTATATATTTGAAAATAAGGGGTGGGGGGCATACCCACGTTTACTTTTTTAAGACTAAATAACGTTGCTTTGTGGCACTCATATTGTATCTATTACACATTTCACTTCAAAACCTCATCTCCCCTAAACCCTCTTCAACGTGCTTGAAGTAGCACTGCCAAAGGAAAGGAATTTTCTATTTAACTAGAGCACTGACATTCTGTTACACAATTTGATCTTGTCTATTTACCTGCTCTCAAAAACACAAGACACTAAACACAAAATGCTGAATGCGTTGAGTCTGTGGTGCCATAGGTGTCTGAATGCATCTGTAGCTTCCCTCTCACTCATCAGTGTAATTGTTGCCATGTTATTCCATTTTTTGATTAGTCTAGTCCCTCAAGCTCAATGCTTTTTTCTGGCCCAACGTTCTTCTGCTGGTTGTCATGGTGACTGAATTGTTAGAGAGGAGAAAGGCTCTGTTGTCTGTCATTGTTCTGTTGTGGTTTAGGTAACGCAGGAGGCAACACAAGTGAAGTGGATGGACCTTTTTTGCTCTGCATCATTTCATAGTATTGAAAAATCTCACATAAAAAAGGAGCAAATAGGCCCAACCAAAGAAATAACCAAGCTCTTTCTAAAGGAAAGTGCACATTATTATAAAGAGGCAAAAATGGCACTAATGATGAACTGAGTAATCTATGAAAATGCTGCTGAATATTACATTTATTACTAGAACAATTGCTGTGACTTAAACATCTCATACAATACCCACCATTTTGCAATTTAGAGTAAATACAGTTTTTAACTATACAATTGTAGCATCAACTCATTGATTCTCCAGGCTGTGCTACTTTAACCTTATGTTCTGTTTAACCCTAAGATATGTTAAAAGTTAAGATTTGAAGCAGAATGCAGAGTTGGGCAAACTTTCTTTTGGTGGTAAGATAATATGCAGGTCAATTTTTACTTTGGGAATGTAGAAATGATTTTTTAAACAAAAGATTAGAGCTAACTGCAAAGAAGAATTTCTTATTTCAAATGATAAAAAAAGTTTTTGAAGTTAACCAAAATAAATATCCCTCCTTGATTTATTTTTCAATTTTCCCAATTTTTTAAGCCAGAAAACAGGCATGTAGCATATGGATATGGTAAGTGAAAGGGTATATCATAGGCTAGGACCAAATTCATAATGGCTCTTATCAAAATTGCTCTAAGTCATCTCCCATCATTGCTTTGGTAGATGTAATCAACATCAGTACTGGGATAGTTATTTTTGGTCTAAATTTTTTATTTGATTTTTTTGATTGTGAAATGATTTAATATTTATTGAGCGGTTTCATTTATTTTATGATACAGTTTTAAGTAGGAAACATTTGGTAAAATATATTTAGAAAACAAAAAAAGATTAAAGGTTTAACTGTGAAGTTTTCCTTCCCATGCCTAAAATTCATCTGTCTAGTTCTTACTCCTCCACATATAACTACTGTTACCTAACTATTGTTTCTTTTGTAGTTTTCTGGAGTTTATGAAAATATTTTTTCAAAATACTAAGATTCTTATTTTGCCTCTTGCATGAACAAATGGTAGCATACTATTCACGGTTCTGCACATTCCACTTACCACTATATTTGGTTGTCTTTTCATATCAGAGCACAGAGATCTTCTCCCTTTTTCTTTTTACAACAGCATAGTGATCCATTGTATGGATGAACTATAATTTATTTAATCCCTATTGATAGACATTTGGTGTGTTCTCAAAATTCCGTTCTTTATAACGAATAACCTTGTGCATTTATTTCTTATGTATGTAAATAAATATAAAAGATAAAATCCCAGAAGTGAAATTTCTAGGTTAGAGTATATTTGCAATTGTAATTTTGATGCAAATTGTTAAATTCCCCTCTGTAGAGGTTATTCCAATTTTACACTCCCATTGACAGGGTAAAGTACCTGTTTTCCCAACTTTGACAACAAAAGGTAGTTTTAAACTCTTGAAATTCAGCCAATCTCATAGGTAAAAAAGAGTAGTACTCTAGAGTTTTCATTACTTTCTGTTACTAGTGATGTCAATATCTTTTTCTATGTTGTGAGACAATTGTATTTGTTTTCATGTTAATCTTCTTAAATTCTTTGTCCACATTTCTTTTGGAGTGTTAATATTTTTCTTACTGATTTCTAGGAGTTCCTTATATGTTTGGGAAACTTTCCCTTTAATTATGTCATGAGTTGCAAATATTTTTTTCCCAACTTGTTTGGGAAACTCATATCTGGAGTTTTTTCCATGCAGAAGTTCTGATTTTTATACAATCACATCCATCCTTATGGCTTCTTTCTCCACTCCAAGGTTATAAAGAAATTCTCCCATGAATTTTTATAGTGCTTGAATATTTTTTCTTTTAAATTTAATATTAACAGTTAATCCTTGAGCAGGAATGAGTTACAGATCCAACTTTAGATATTTCCAGGTGGCTATAGCTATCCTATCACCAAATATGGAAAAATTCATCTTTTCCCACCACTGACTTTTTGTGCTCCCTTTATCAGATACTAAAGTATATTATGTTTACGGCCTATTTCTGAACTTTGTATTCTGTTCCCTGTCTGCTCACACATTGAGTACTAGTACATTTAACATAATACAAACACATTGAACAAGAAATTACAAGAACTGTACAGTCATGTACCACATAATGTTTTGGTCAACAATGGACAGCATATACAATGGTGGTCCCATAAGATAAAGGAGTTGAAAAATTCCTATTATCTAGTGTTATCACAGCCATCATGATGTCCCTCATAGTATTGTAGCACCCTTTCTAAGTTTTGAGACACACATTTTTTCCTGTGTGTTACTACTGCCTACACTATTCAGTACAGTAACATGGTGCATAGGTTTGTAGCCTGGGAGCCAGTATGTCATTAGACAGTGTGAAAGAAAATCAAAATATGTTTGTTTTGCAGCAATAGGCTACACCATATAGCCTAATTGTATATAGGCTCCACCATCTATAAGCACACTCTCTGATGCTCAATGACGAAATCACCTAACAACGCATTTCTCAGAACATATCCCTGTTAAGTGATGTGTGACTGTTCTTAGCTTATAAATGAAAATGGTTATTCCTGTATCTTCACGCCAGTATTTTGTCCTATTTAGCCACTGCTCACTATAACTCACCATTGAAACATACATTCCTTTCCCTATTTCCCCAGGAAGTATATCTATTATGCTGAACCAGACGTTGACTGTCATGTAATCTGAGAAAATTCAGCTGAAGCCATCAGCAATTTTTCAATTAAAATTGTACTTTAAAAAATACACATGGCAGAAGGCTGTTTTCTCTCTCTGAATGTACCTTTAAGGGTCCAGAGTCGCGGGGTGTTCACAAATCTCAGCGTGCATTTGTTCAGCCTCTCATGGTGGTTTACAGCAACAGAAATCTGTGAAACATGCTGCTTTCGCTTTCTGAGGGTGCTCCACGATGACTTTAAAGCCTAGCCATTAAAGAGCATTTGAAAGGGCACTTACTATTTAGTACCCAGTAAACATATATTTTGATTTCCTTTCGTACTGTTTAATGGCATAATATTCAGCAAGGATCTGTGGAAACCAGCTAGCAATCACAACAGACACACTCCAGGGAGGAGTACCAGCACTTCCTAGATTGGGCTTCCCTCCCTCCCCACTGCGGAAGGGCTGCGGCCGATTTCATCACGGTGCCGAATATTCACAAGCTTGTTGTCTGTTATTGGTTTAATGTAGTACATTCACAGAGATTGAGGTTGATTTTCAGTAAAGGCCTATAACTAATGCTCCTTGGCTGTGATCTTGAGGCTTTCCAGCTCACTCTCCCTGCTTCCACCCCTCCTCCTTATCAAGCATTTCATTACTGGGGAGGGGATTTATGTCCTCACCACAAAAGATGACTTTTGGAGCAGAACCTACCCCATAATCAGAAGTGGCAAGTAAAAGAGGGTAGGTGGTGACCTCTCTCAGTGACATGAACAAGAAGAAGCTGGAAGAGCCTTTCCTTTTGCTTAGAAAGTGTCCAAACCACTCATTGCAGGAAGCGTTTGGCTACCGATCACTTCTCTGAGACCCCTTATAAAAGGTGAGCAAAATTGAAAGCTCTCCCTCCCTCCCCAATTAGTTCAGATTGCAGTCGACCTTCAAAGATATCCGTTGCAGGGGTGTTTTTTCTAGTGATGATGCTGTGAAAATAATTTTCTTTTTTGAAGGGCTTTCTTTCTATTCTCTCCCCATGGCAACTTTTGAAAATTTGCTAAAACGCACACTCGCGCACAACCCTCTCAGGCTATCCACAAGCTCTCTAGGTGAGTGGGAACAAATGGCAGCCTGTCAGAGAAGTGCACCCAGGACAATTGCACAGTTGTGATCATTTGGGGATCTCACGCAGACTCTCCCTGCAGCCCCCACTGCACCATCAGGAGTTTCTAAGTACAAAATGATACAAGGTAGGTGGAGACCAGGGTGTGTGCGTGTTGGTTTAATTAAGCAAACACTAATTTGTTCCAACTGCCTTTCCAAATTGATAAAGAGATTTCTTATGATGCCAGTAACTGTATAGAAATTGAAGCAAGCAAGCTAAGGCTCTATAGCTTTGGGGCATCTGTGTACTTGTTATATGACCGAATCTAATAGACTAGAAACTGATAGGAGAGTGAGCTTGTTGGGGAGAAAGGGGAATTCATGGAATGGACCGTACCAAGGGTTTGAGGGGTGACTACAGATGACTCAGGACTTTTGGGATGCTGTGGTGACAGTTATGGCACGCAAGTCATGGAAAGACTCATTATATCAACAGAAACCTCCCCCGAATAGATGCACATCTAATTGACATGTGATAAAAGAAATCATGCACATATCCGTTTTTAGTAAGCACTTGCTTTATTTCAAGCACCTCAACTTCCCACTGACATCCCTTGTCTGGGGAACCTTATTTTAAGATGCTCTTTAAATTAGGTATACATAGGGAAGAAAGCAAAAGCTGCAGTGCTCCTCTGTGCGGCTTAATTTCTGGGAGAGAAAAAAAATGGCTGTTTCTGTTTTTCCTTTTTTTGCCTCGACACAAGAGTGTCATGCCGAGAATTATGCTGAGGCTAGGATTTAACGGCCATGCCAGGAATTGGAAGCAGCACCTGTGGACCAGAATGTAAATCCCATGGACGGTTTTACTTGATGCTTTTATGAAGCATGAATGAGGATGTAATTTAAAAATAAGCTCTGCATCCTATTTAAAAAGATAAGAAGGGCCTGGATGTGTGTAAATGTTTGGATTAAATATGACCAAGGACTGTATCATATTTAAATGGCTTGGCACTTTGAAAATGATGGAATCAGACTTCATAATGATGCAAGCATCTACCTAATGGAACTAAATTTGCAATAAAGGTGCATAGTGGAAAAGAAGGGCAGACAAGTGGCGCTGAGAATCTAAGCGAGACAGCACCAAAGAATGGAACATATTGAGTTTAATGACTGACCTTATTGGGAGCCTTTCTGCCCTGACAATGAGGATGTGAATTATCCTATTATTATAAGCAGGTATATCATCTTATTAAAGTACCCTGGTCTTTCACATTTTTATTTAACTTTAAATTGAAAAATTTCAGGAACAACCTCCCATCCCTCAAAGGAAACAAGCTGATGCCCAGAAATATTTTCTGTGGAGCTTTATGTAATTTTTTTTTCTTTCCAGAGACACATTTTCAGCTCTGCCAAACCTATAATGCTTAGGTTTTCATTTGGATATAGCTGAGGTGTCTTGGAAGTTTCTCTGTAAATTCCTTCAAATCCAGAGGAGCTGAATGTGATTCTAAGAGGCTGTGCTCCTCTTAATGATTCCAGATGGAAGAGCATCTTTAGAATTCTGATTTGGATACTGTCAACCACTTGATAGCCCCTGCTCTAAGGGGCAGCAGATGAACCATCATCAAATGTTTTCCAAATTCATCCCTGGTACAACTTTCCCCTTAAACCAAAATTAGGCAGTAAAGTAATATTTGCTTAGAAACACTTACCAGGCACCTGCCTAATAAATGCTACCCTGGCAAAGCCTCTCACACAAAGAAAATATTTCATTGGAAGGTCAATATCTGCAACTAATGAAAGAAATGGAGCTGTTTCAAACTAACCGACAAAGGTTTCTGTCTCACCCCCCTTTCCACTCTTTTCTTTTTGGTTTTGTTTCCTTTCAGCATATTTTAGGAACTAATCAGCCTTATAAAAGGTAGCACTGTTAATCTACTGTTTGTCTTGGTCTTCATTGCAGCTCCTTAAGAGATAGAGTGCAAACAAAGCGAGAATTAAGGTCATTCCATTTAAATCCTTCAGAGAGGAAGACAAGGGCTAAGTTATTGCTGAGGACTAAGAGAGGAGGGCTAGAGGAATCCAGGATTTAAAAAAAGGAAAAAAAAGAAACCCTCATTGTTTATTATTTGCCAGCCTCAGAGCAGCCCCCATTCCCATATTTGTGAAGGGATTATTCTCCCATCCTCTGAGATTAATGGGAAGCCCAGACGATTCCCTGGCCCACCATCCACCCTGCACCAAAGAACATTTTCCAGAAAGGTGGGCCTGGGAGTACACTCACTTGGGGGATGAAAAGTGTGACACACTCATCAACCTGATATGATTCGTCCTCCAGCTGCCGGAGATGCACAAGTAAACATAACTGCAGAGGGGATTCCATGCTTGTACAGAAGCAAAACCACATATTAGGAGGTGGCTGTGCACATGAAAATCTTAGCATGTATCAGATTTAAAGGGTGGAGGGGGTCCAAATAAAACAATCCACTCAAAAGCATTTCAGCAGCATGTAATACCCCTTTGTTTTTTTCTGTAATCCTAATTATAATTATAATTCTCCCCATATTTTGAGACAGAAGTCAATTTATTTGTTGCTACCACAGTTCATTGAAGCATTACTAAAATATATTAGCCTTCAACACTAAAAAATGTGGCAATGGGGTGATCTAAGTGAGTAATACATAGGAAATTTTTTTCTTTAAAGAAGTAAGGCCAGGGGCCGGGTGCGGTGGCTCACACCTGTAATCCCTGCACTTTGGGAGGCCGAGGCGGGTGGATCATGAGGTCAGGAGATCGAGACCATCCTGGCTAACACGGTGAAACCCTGTCTCTACTAAACAAAATACAAAAAATTAGCCGGGCGTGGTTGTGAGCCCGGCTAATTTTAACTCAGCTGGTGTAGTCCCAGCTACTTGGGAGGCTGAGGCAGGCGAATGGCGTGAACCCGGGAGGCAGAGTTTGTAGTGAGCCGAGATTGTGCCGCTGCACTCCAGCCTGGGTGACAGAGCGAGACTCCGTCTCAAACAAAACAAAACAAAACGGAAAAAAAAAAGTAAGGCCAGGAAGCAGAAATTGCCATCTATAGCCAACAACAGAGATGCAGATTCTTATTTTGGTCACTGAATAGGGTATTTTTCAAATATTCTCTAGTATTTGGCAAGTTTGGCATATAGTAAATGCACAATAAATATTTGTTGCATGAAGAAAAGTTTTGGTATTTTTGACTGCTTATACTGATAATGACATTAATGTTTAGGGAGCATTTACCAAATGCCATGCAGTGTACTAAGCACTTCACTTTCATTATCTTCCTTAATTTCAACATCAACACTATGAGGGTATTATCTGCATTTTACAAATGAAAAAATACAAAAGCTCGTTGAAGTTAAGTCACTCACCCAAGGTCACATAAGTAATCAGTAGCAAAACCAGCCCTCAGGGCCATACCATGTTCTTAATGCTGTACTGTTGCCCCTTGAAAGCAGCATTTCTTAGCTTGAGCTTAGAAAACGCTCAGGATTGCTCCAGATTCAATGTCCATTTTATTAGATGGCCCAATTATCCTCAGAGAATCAGAGTGCTACCTTTAGCCAAGGTATAATTGGGAAGAGGCTACCTTCATGGCAACTTCAAATTTTTTCCTTAATTCCTAGAAGAATTTAGTTACTCACAAAATACAATGACAATTTGGTGGTGCTTTGTTGAAAGTAGTAGGAACAGACCTTCTGAGAGGAGTGATGCTCCTTCCCTGAGGGATATCTTACCTCCTTACCTCCCTTGGTTACCCTCCCAACCCCTGCACCAGGCAGAGTGTCAAGTTTTCCCAGGCAGGATGAGATCTGTTTGTAACACCCTTGGCATATGGTGGATTCTGCCTGGCTTTCTGCAGTGTTTGATTATGATTGGCCTAGTTAATTCATTTTATTGCATGTTCACCCCTCCTTGGAAACTGAACAGGATTAAATTGCATTTATAAAGCCCTGACAAATCGCCGTGTGATTGAAATCAGAATAAAGACAAACACTGAGATCATCCTTTGAGGAAATTCTGACAGCATTTCTGGCTCAGCAGGAGTGTTTGTCCAGAGACTCACATTCTCTCCTAGTCACTGGGATGCCCAGTTGTAAGCATACTGACTACGCAGTAATAAATGTAGGATCCACAATCAAAGACTAACCAGAGTGAAAAGCCATACGTGAAATTGTTTCCTCTTGAATAATCCTAAAACCCCATTTGAGCAAATAGTCCAATTTATTCTGTCTCCAAACTCTAGCTCACAAACAAGCTCTAGCCAAAGTGGACTGAGTTATACCCATTTATTTAATTTCCCTTCCTTTGAGGAAAGTGCTGGAAAGCCTTATGGTGACCAAAAGAAAGAAGTATAACTAGCATTGAAAATTTAGAAATAACATTTTCCAAGTCAGAAATAATTAAAAGTTCCTGGACATAAAAGCAAGGCATACTTACTATTTTTAGGATATTTTGCTAAGCTATGCAATAATTTCCAGCATGATTGCTTAGCCAGTCTTAGCCACTCCCTAGTTTGTAATACTGTACTTCCAAATAAATAAATAAGTAGAAAGAATTAAAAAGGCATTCCCATTTGTGAAATCATTGTTAATCCCATATAACCCTATGAGAAAATTTTACTAATTTCAGTATGTTTTATTTAGCAATCTTTGGATGCTCACTTCATGTGGCATAATTTTTGTATTAATAGTATTTTAACATGAGAACCAAATTTTCGAGGATGAGAAACCAGAGCCCACCATCAAAACAAGAATGTCCTGTAATCCCCTTTTATTTCAAAGGTACCTATACATCTGCTATGAGTTTATGGTAAAGATGACTCAGGTTTCTATATTTCACAGTCAGCAAGAAAGTTAGTCTCAATTTTTCAGTGAAATGTATCCATCTAGTCATTAAATAAGATTTAGGGCTTTCCTGCTGCACAGGCAGTCACCCCTAGAGAGGTTAAATATAAAATAAGTACTGATATGGAAATACAATAGCTTCCTTTAATGGAAAATTTCATCTCTGAAGAAAACAGATTCTTCTACCCTTTTCCCATTCAAAAGAAAAAAATAACAAAATACAGTCAATTGAACTGCTTATGGTTTCTAGGCACCAATGTTAAACATCACATTTAGGAAATTTCTAATTGCCAGAATATGCCTAATAATTTGTTTTAAGAAATCATCCCCAAGGTGAGACAAGCACAGAGTACAAACAGACAAACAGTAATTTGAAGGGAAAACACTTTGAGAGATATTGAATCAGCACTTTAGGGTATCAACATTCACTTCTTTACAGTGAGGCCTATAAAATATATTATACATCAAACTGTTTTTGATCATTAAAAGATTTCCAGAATACAGAATGGTTACTTAACAATTAATCCCCACACAGCTGTATGTTGTTTGCCTCATAAGGTGACAACCAACTGGCCACATGTAAATTATTTTATAAGCATCCCTCTGGGGAAGTGGATCGAGTTGGCAGACAAAACACATGCATCTACTCTTGGCTCCAACCCATGAAAAGACAGATATTTTAAAAGAATAAATTTAATGAGCATATTAGAAAATTAAAATTTCATCAGCAGACAAGAGATTCTAAGGAATTCTAGAAGATAGAAAATCAAAGGGGAGAGTATTGACAAGAACAAGACCAGAGGGAAACAGCCCAGACCAGGAGCAGGAGAGAAGGAAAAAGTATTTATCCTACCAGGTATCAAACATCCTATGAAGCTCTATTTTTAAAAGCAGTGTAAACATAGTGCAGGAATAGGCAAACATACTAATGGAACAAACATAAAATCTGAAAACAGACCCTTGTATATATAGAATTTGGTATATAATAAAAGTGGTATTTCAAACCACCAGGAAAAGAGTAGATATTTAATGCATGGTATTGGCAAAATCAAGTAACTATTTCACAAGAATAAAGTTTGTGCACTATGTCTCACACATAGATTTCAGATGAAACAAAATCATATGTAATAAATATTGGAATAAAATGAAAATATTTTACATTTTTATAAAGGTAAAGATTGACATACATGGTTGTGATAAAGACACCATAAACAAAGTTAAAACAACACAGCCTAGAAGAAAATGCTTTTAACATCTTCAGGTGAAAAATATTTGTAAAGAGTTCTTCCAAATCAATGAAATAGCAAACTCAATAGGAAAATGGATGAAGATTATAAACAAGACACGAATAAAGAAATATGAATAGCTCAAAATTACATATAAGATGTGCAAACCTTGTGAATAATCAGAAAGCAAATTAAAGAGTTTTTGCCATCAGACAAGAAAAAGTTGGAAGGCATGTTAATATATAGCTGTTGGGGTAGAAAACGGGATACTCCTATACAGAATTATAGAAGTGAATGAATATAACCTTTTAGGGAGAGGCAATCATATATATCTATCCACATTAAAAATGTACATGTATTTTGACCCAGCAACTCTATCTCTCTATACATATATATACACACACACACACACATAATACATATATGCATATATATATATTTTAGTTTAATCACTCATCTTACCATCACAATGTCCTTGAATATTCTGTAGCCACTTCCTCATCTCCCACTCACTCTAACTTTCAGCGTGTGGCTTATCACCTTTACCCCAGCCCGATTCTATTGAAACTCCTCTGGTGGGAATCGTCAGTAACTACCTAATTGTCACATGCAAAGAAATATTTGAGGTATTTGTCCTATTTGTCCTTGAAATACTTGATGCTGTGGCCCATGCCTTCCTGGATATTATTTCTTCTTTTGGATTCTAAGGCTCTTCACTCTTGTTTTTCTTTATAACTCTGTCTCATTTGTTCACTCCTCTTTCTTTGATGGAGCCTTCAAAGCTGGTGCTCCCCAAGGATTATGGCTTGCCCTTCTCTTTCTTACTCTACATTATCTCATTAGGTGAACTCAACCTATGGCTGCTTACAGACTCAAGATTCTAAATCAATACTTTCAGCCCAGACACCTCTACTGAACTCTAGAGTCCTACGCCTCCACCAGAATATTCCACTGGCTTTCCAACAATCTCAATAACATGTTTCTTTCTATTCTTTGCCTTGATGAAAGTGCTACCATCTACCTAGTCACCATAGATAATTAGAATCTTAGGAATCATCTGAGACTCTTCCATCTCTCACCTCTCATATTCAATCTGCCAACATATACCATAGATTCTTTGTTATACCTCTCATATCTGTGATATTCCCTATCTCCACTGCTAGTGCATTGATTAATGCCCTTATCATTTATCCAAAGGGTTCTTACCTGGAATTCATGGGCTTTAAGAGATCTGTGAACCATCTGATAGTATATGTGAATTATATGTGTGTATACACATATGTGATTCTATAAAGGGATCTAAGGCCCCAAAAGGTGAAGAACATTTAGCTTTGTCTAATTGTTGATACAATCTCCTAATTATATTCTTCCTACTTCTAGTCTCACCCTTCTGCCCTGTCCTTTATCCTGCTGCCTTGCCTTTCCAAATCATAAATCCAATCATGGTCCTATTATTTTAAAATGCTGTTAACACCTTACTATTTTAAGATAAAACCCAAACTTCTTTGTAAGGCTCTCTGTGATCTGGCTCCTGCCAACTTCTATGGCTTTT